GATAGTATGTTTGTTACACAGCGTCTGGGCCTAGTTTGTAGCGACAGGATGCTCAACAGGCGCTACGACCACCTCCACCACCAGGACCGAGCCTGGAGGCCGGGGGATGCCGGACAGCTGCCCCCTCCCATCTCTGCACACCGCACCGCCCGCTCCCCTCCGCCCGGAGTAGGGCGGTGCGCCCGCGCACTCCCCCCCACCACGCCGGTCTGCCTTAAAGGCTTCGCAGCACCCCCTCCCCAACCATAGAGACCCTGTCGCCCGGAGCCAGAGGATCGCGTCGCAGCGTCCGGTCCGATCCATCAGCCGCGAATCGAAACGAGTGGCGGGTAGTGTCGTCGGGTGGCGCGGCGTATCATAGTGTGCCAGAGGGCATCGCTCAGAGCAGCGTAGTGGGGCGCGGCGGAGCGCGGCGGGGTGTATCGCGGTGCACTGTGAGGTGCTGACCGAGTAAATGGAGCGACCCGGGGATGGTGCCCGCCGGGCAGGGCTACTGTTGCTTCTGGCATTTGCACTCCAGGTAGGTCTACAAATAACACCCAAAAAGCACAGTGCGTGGGTGTGTAACAATTTCTAACTCGTCTCGATGTGAACACAGTGGTTCAAAAACTGATTAACACCACAAAACTTGTAAAACGACTTTCAGACGGGTATTTTTATGATTAATATCTTCAACTGTTTCCAATGCCAATTCAATCGACAGTGATTTTGAATATTAATTTCTGTCTTATTGAAAAATGCAGCGATTATCTGTTATTGCTACAAGTGTCCAACCGGTCAATACTTGCAAGTGTTTTAACGATTGCTACTACATAACTTCTGAGCTACGATGAAACCAGTCTTGTTGTCATAACTTCGAATTGCAAAGCAGTGCTCGGTTTGCACCTGTTCAACAGTTATTCGCACGCTGTCTAAAATCACAGTGAACCCTATACATAAGCGGCACAGTGTGCCTGTAGGCAGACTGTTCTGACAGTGCTGTGAACGCTGTCCCATCCGCGAGGTTGCCCTAAGCAGACGCCTGGATTTTCAGTTTAATCCCGCTTTTTCAATGTAGATGAGACAGGCGCGGTATAAGATCTGGGGGGCGGTGCACCGTGTGTTGCCTACTTACACCCTACGCTTTAGGTGGCTTACTAGGGAGGATGGGGATGGGAGTGGGGAAGATGGGGGATAACCCCCACCCACTAGCATTGCCAACCCCTTATACCGAGCCTGAGACTGTTTTCCAACAGAACAATTACCACTTCCAGAGCGTCTGATGAACGCTTAGTTCTCACAAAAAAAAGGACTGCAGATGTGCAGTGGCTTTAGCATATTATTGTGAGTTTGTGAGTAAATCAAGAGCACCTCGCCCGGCGATCACCAGTGCGTTTGTCCTGGTAATTTGATGGAGTGCTGTTTAATTGTTGATGAGTCATTTGTGTGATAGACCTCCGTCGTATAGACGTTTTATCCAAAGCGGATATTCGTACAGTCGCCCAAATATCGCTTTTTTTATCCAGCAACAACCTCTTCACTGTGGTCAATATTTGAAATTTTGGCCACGGTGTTTGCTGCGGAGTAGTCATAAAAATCAAACACCGTGGCCAGAATTTTGAATTTTGATCACAATTAAGAGTTTGTCGCTGGAAACTATGAGCGTGCGGCGTTGCCACATCGTTTGGATAAAAGGTCTATTTTCAGCCACTTAGACGAAGTGCTATTAAAAATTGATTTTTTAAGAATTCTACCGTAGTCTATTTAACTTTTTAATGCAGTAGTTAAATTTGACCTTGACTCGTACTTGTGCTAACATGTGGTTTAATTAGAAAATAACGCAATTGCATGTTACGAAGAGCTGTTGGTTAGGACGGTTAGGTTTTAATATCATTTGATTGGAAGCTTTAGAAAAGCTGCTGGTGGAATTGTTGGAGCTAAACTTTGCCCGATGGTCGCCGGCACTGCTGTCACATTCCAGCCAGACAGGTCCCAAAGACACCGCCATCCAGGAGTGGCACAAAGTGCTGCGCACATAGCACGGTGGTAGTCGTGCCATTCGAAGATTCAGCAGGATTGTTAGCTGTTCTTCTAAACAGCAAACCCACACTCTCAGCCCGTTACTGACACTTTGCAAATACACAATGAACTTGCTTATACAGCAGTAATACTCACAAAATTGCACGTAATACTCACAAATTTAGTTAGTACTACTAATTATTTTGTTAGGAATTACTTAGGAAGATGATCCTAAGTACTTGCTAACAAAATAATTAGTATTACTTACTAAATTTGTGAGTATTACGTGCAATTTTGTGAGTATTACTGCTGTATAAGCAAGTTCATTGTGTATTTGCAAAATGTCAGTAACGGGCTGAGAGTGCAAATGTCGGCTTATGCCTGCAGAAGTGGCGTATCTGTGAAAACACGCGGAGCACTGGCGGTTCAGCGCCGGCCTGGCCGACAGGGGTGGATCTGGGAAGGGACGGTCATCACAGGCGGATCTGCTTTTCGGCTGATCTGCACAATCAACTTCGGAGGCCTGTTGCTCATCGTAGGTATGTCGTACAGTATTGAGTGATGTCGAAATTTAATCAGGAGGGGGTATAAACATTGCAATGAGACATCAATGCGCATCGTGGGTATGTCCTGCAGTATTGACTGATGTCTCATGTCAATGTTCATATCCTAGAGATTAAATTTTGACATAACTCAATACTGTACGACATACCTACGATGAGCAACAGGCCTCCAAAGTTGACTGTGCAGGACAGCCGGAGAGCAGATTAACCTGTGATGACCGTCCCTCCCCAGATCCGCCAGTTATGGCCAGGTCGGCGCAGAACCACCAGTGTTCCGCGCCTCTTCACAGATACGCCACTTCTGCAGGCATACGTCGATGTGTACTTCGGGTACTTTGGGAAAAGTTTCTATGGAACATTTATAGACGGACTTGCAGATACTCTTGAAGTCGTGGTCTTGTGAAGGGTGGCCTGCTAAGGAATCATTCAGAAAGTACGTCCGTCATTCTCCGTAATGAATCTGTCAAGCTTAGCCTCCACATGCTGTCATAGCGCCTGATGCGTCGGCAACACATTGCTTACAATGCACGCAGGTACTGCGGGGTGGCCTACCCCGAGTCTCGCAGGCGCCAAGCTCCCGTAATTTGCTGAATGAATCTTGGAAAAGCAGAAGTACTTTCTGAACGATCTCTGAACGGTTTAGTCCCGAAAGAAGTACGCGGTTCGTACAGTCCAAACTACATACCGAGCCAGTACCGTACTATCAGCAACATTTCAAAACGGCCCGAAACGTGCCTCCGGATGTCTTTAGGGCTAGTCGGAGCCGACGACAATACACAAAAAATGCACTTACAGTACACGAAAAAGCGAGACGGTCGGGTATCGTTCCTTTATTCCCTTCCCTCATGAGCCTATGACTTGGCTTAGATCTTTTGACGGACGGTTCTTTTAGCTCAGCTACGGTGACAAGTAAGTTGAGACGCTTCAGCCTTAGAAAAGCCTTCCCAGCAATATGTTGTCACCCTGAAAACAAGTTAGACCACGTCTCGCGTAGAAAAATTCGCGATATCTCACGAAACACTTTTCCGTTGCAACGCGCCTGGCACACATCTTTCTTAGCCTGCGGCGCTGTCACCCGAGTCGCATTGTGGTAAAGCACGATATACGGTCCTTCAGCCTGCTAGTACGCAAAAAATCATTTTATAGTAGTACCGCCAGTAGACCTCCAACACCTCCAACGGGGTGATAGTCTTACACCTAATGAGCTGTTTGAAGGTGTAGTTCCTCATCCAATTAGAAGTTTAAGTTGGGACCAGACATTCAGTTAAATTCGGCTCCAC